TACTTTTTTGTTTCAAAATATGATGTACCGCGGTTTTTGTCAGGATTCACGTAAAAGCTCTAGTCAAAAAATACGATTTGTTCAGAGTTTTTGAGGATGCTCTCAGAATTTTGATGTTTTTACTCGAACAGAAGGAGATAAAAAGAAACCAAAAGAGAAGGACCTCCCACGGTGGCTAGTATCGGTAAGAAAAAAATTCAGCTCTATCGGGCATACTACTACCGAGAAGACATGGCGATTTGTAGCTTTTGGGATCCCAATATCTCCTATAAGGAAGCATTTAGGAAAGTTGAGTCTATGGCAACTTTTCTCTACTCATTAGGATCTATTTACTCTGGAAGTTTCAAATTATTCCGATAAGTCATTCTCCACAAGTGCCGGAAAGAAGGGAGTCACTGCCTAAGATAATGCTTCCAATGGAGTTAGAATTTTCGCATAAATATATGCTCACAACTATCGTATTATTGTAACAAAAACGTCATCTTGATATCTTGTTCGCGTTCGCAAGTTACTCAAAAATCAAAATGCTTAAAAAAGACTTCTGAATTCGAGGTGATGGTATTTAAAGCCTTAATTCATCCATGTAATGTTTATTTATTTGTTCAGTTTTTGAATAGGTTTGATTTGTACTTTTCTTTGCCTAGATTTCATCAACAAAGTAGACGACTAAATATACACTATTACTGTTTTCGGCGTCATTACTTTCGACATTTTCATTTTCGGCATTTTGTTTTTCTACATTAACAACTTTCGACATTTTTCTGTTCGGCGTCCTGCCTTTCGACATTTTGTTTTCGACGTTTTCACTTTCGGCATTTTCCTTTCGACATTTAGCTACTGTACCTATTTATATAGCTATTCTTTGTTTTGACAATATTAATAACAATCTGAATCATTATCTTCATAAAACAATATTTTTATCTTTATGAGACTGTCTCATTTTGTTTTATATCTTTTTATTTTAATGATTAAAAAGTAATGTATTTTAGACATTATTTAGGAAAATTTTTAAGAAAATCTATGACATAGAATACTTGAAAAAAGGTTACAACACCATTAGATAAAAGACAATTGTATCATATGTTTCTTTTAATAAGAGAGTTCGACAAAAACCTGACAATGATTAATGGCTACTTTTCATTTTCGTCAATGAATACACTATTCGATAACGTGCATCGAATATTACTTCGCTATGTCATTATAGTTATATTACAAATTGAAGTTTCGAAGAAATGACAGTGATCATTAATCATTCTTTACCTATATGGTCTATTTAATTTTTTTTTTCTGTTGAAACCAACAATTAACCACATTTCTTAGCAAAATCAAAAGTTCAAGCGATTAACTCTTTGTTTTTTTTCTTTATAAGTAGTACTATGTCTCTTGAAAACGTCTCTTTCTAGCCGAAGAATTTGACTTTTAAAATATTACTGCATTTTATATTCAAATGAATGGTATAATTAATTTTTCTGACAAATGAATATTTTTCTGATGGGATCTTTATTAAGAATCTAAACTTATAAACTGGGTGAATCAATCGATATATGTATATCGATGGTTTGAGTGCGACCATCATTTTGATTGACATCACACATTTTTCTGAGAATGTAAAGAAAACATTCATTTAATTGGATCTAAATACTATTAGATCAGAAGAACAGGTATTAGCCAACGGTTTCCGTTTATTAATCACGAGATAAATTGTATTATGTCCATACCTCTGTTTTATCATGTAAAGAATATCATTGGTTTTTCACATAATCTGACAAGTCAAATATCATCTATTGGTTTTAATCTTTATCAAATTAACGGTCAACTTCAAATAACTAACAGAAGTCTAGATTTTTTATTAGACATCATTTACTAGAATTATATTTTTAAAATATCTACAAAACATGGATTAATCATGTTTCAATCAATAGTGATTCATTCGTTATGATGTTTGTTTCTTAATGTAAATAATAAAAAAGAATATGGATCTTGTCAACATTTTTTTTTGTTTTTAATTCACTAAAAAAATGTTATTAAATTATAATGAATACGAAGGTTGTTCAAAAAGCTCCGAAACCAATTTTATTCAAAAATAATAAGAGGAAGTATTGCTGCATTAGTATTGTTGTCTCAGAGTAGTTCATACAGTCCCCGGCCTACAAACATTATGAGCTCCGATTGATCGAGCTTCTATGTCGAGATATACCAATAGTTTTTACATCGATAGAAAGTTTTAAAATCTGAGTATCCTTCAATAATAAAGTTTTTAGCATTGAAAACCTAATCTCCATCCAATGTTCATGAACGTATGATGGCGGTTTATGGTGACCGATATTCCATCATATACTATAATACTTTCTGGTATGGAATTGCAGTTTTAAAGATGGATAATTAAGTATTGAGCATGGTCCTTGATGTAGACAACACGAATATTACAACCGTTAGAAGGTTAGCCATCATAAAGTCTCAAATCGTACGTCAGAAAATAGCATATAATGATAGCATCTCAAATACATGTTTCACAGCTAAACATAATCAACTAAATATGATTACAAATTGTTCAAAACTAATGAACTATTCGTTAGCATCCAAGAAATTATATATCGTTCATATATCAATGCTCAATTACTCTTTATTAAAACGATGAAACCGTTCAAAAATTCTAGTGGATCATAGAGCACTATTACTATAAGCTATCGCCATACGTTCATAAACATTGAATGGGAGTTCATCATTCAAAATACAAAAATTTTCTGAAGTCTTTGAAGTTCTATCAGTGTATATCAAACGAACTAAAATGTATTCTTATATCTGGATATAAATACTTAAGAGCACCCCTTTCCTCACTGAATATTTTTGTTTTTTTTTTCATTCTTGATTTGTTGTGGTCATTATATAGTTTTAAGTAGTATCTATTTACTGAGTACATTTTGGGGTCTAAAGATTACCCTTAAAAATGAAGAAATTCAAGAAGAAAACAAATTTAGATAACGAAAATAGCGATAACTGTGCATAGTTTCTCTTTTTTTTTCAAAATAACTTTTTCATGAAAAAAAATGTTGAAAAATGTCCCCGGTTTCTTTGAAGTGGTATGTCTAACCGAGCTGAAAATTTTTTCACGCATACTAGACACTGTTTGGGATGGATATTTGTTTTTATTTCAAAAAATATTGTTTTGTTGACTTTTGGTAGCTCTTATAAGACAAGCTCTATTCAAGAAAAAAACGTGCGTTTCTTAAAGTATCTTCGATATTTTGGTTTGCCTAGTTCAAGAAGAAAAAAATATGAAAAAAGTTTAAAAAAACTACTAATTCCAAACAGTATTTGGTACATAAAAAAAAACAAAAAGCTTTCAGCTAGATCGAACATAGCAGTGTAGAGAAATGAGAGTGGACATTCGAGTCATCTTTTACCATGATGATTCTCATATCTTATGGAGGGCAGTATCCAACAATTTTGAGTCTGTGACAACTTTTGCTGTAGTCATCGAGATTTACGTGTTCTGAAGATTTCAACTTCTTTTGATGAGCTGTTCCATAGAAATCTGGAAAGGAGACAGATACCCTTAACTGATCAGAGATTACGGTGTCTATAGATCAAGAACTGAATGAAACAGACACAAACAACGATACTAATGCTGCAATGTTTCTTGTTACTTCGCAATAAAATCAATCTCGGAAACTTTTCAAACGACTCTCGTACATCACCAATATTTTTGTATGTGTCCGTCATATTTCATACTTGAGAGATGGCCATGTGGATGGACTGAAATATCGTTGCATTTATCGAAAGGATATTTTTCATTTGATGGTACGAAAGACAAAATATGACGTCACTATCTCGAGTCTATTCAAATATGACTTCAATGTCCTTTCCTTCGTTTGCAATTGTTTTGGTGCTTCATTCCTGTACGACAGTATGATGCGGTGTCACCATTTGAGGTTTAAGCAGATAGACTGAGCCGTCATCTCCAGTGCTGATTGATGCATCGGTTCACACGTCTAATTAGTGTATAGTCATCTCATATAAGATAATAACCAAACAACTGTAAAATAGATGTATATTTATAGCTTATGACACCGAAATAATTTATAATCGTTTAGGTTACAATAAACAATGTCCTTCGTTTTTTTCTGTTTATTATTTCAATCTAAACATTCAGACATATTACGCGAATTTGCGGACGTTGTAGTAAAATTTATTTTTCAATGCAGCATATTGTCTTCAGTTTCAGATTACTTAGATAATTAAGAGTGTTATCGATGGTTAAGATTAAGCCGCTGAATTTGATGATGTTTATACGTACTAACCAAAAAAAGCTCAAGGCTTATTATATCTAAATATAATAAAATTCGTAAAAGAAGAACCATTAACACTGGTTTTTCATTTATAGATGTATATCTAACTCAAGAATGCTTCATATAAATGAATCAATCAAATGGTTTTCTGCATGTGTAAACGAATAACGCAATATTTTGAAATTTTATACTTTATATTCTCAATGTATAAAACCCAATGGCCTTGGAGTGAAGTAATAAATAGCATTCAGACGGAACTAGGAACACATTGAAATCTTATGAACCTATACATATCGTGTTTCTTTCAAGAATCCTTGAATATAAACAAGATGATAATAAAATCAACAAACAATGAATGATTGTCATGATCGATTCGTTGGTGAATTCAGATTATATTATATCGCTATATGCATGTTACAATTGCTTATTTTGTCTCTTCGTCATGCTTGATGTGTCTCATGACGAGTAGAGAATCATTTTATTGATTGTATCACTAATCCGATACTTTTTTTTTCGTTTAGTTATTATTGCACACGTGTTTATTCATTTTTTTGTGATATTGTTTATTTTTCCAAGCCTTACGATGAAATAATATCAAAAATAGCGCTATTTATGACAACAGACCTAATCTATATTTATAAACGTATGTTTGATGATGCATGAAGCACAACTAACGAAAACAATAGTTACTTGTTAATTGAGTGTATAGTCATGCCTGCGCATAAAAGTGAAATATATTTAAATGGAATTGACACTGTAGCAACTGACGTAATGAATACTTGTAAAACCCAAGCTACACAAGATTCATCATCAATTGAAAACAATGAACAATTTCAGCAACATCCAATCTTTCAAAAATATCTCCCAAAACAATTATGTCAAGTATTAGAACATTGGCTTTCAGATGGTAAACTAGATGAAGATGAAAAACAAATCTTTCGAACTTGTGCAGAATTTCTTCTTCAATCAACTAAAACAGATTCCAATGCTAAACAATGGATTAGTCTACAAACTGAACTAATTAGTTGGACTGAAAAGTGTTTAAATGAAATAGGAGCTTATGGTTATTATATTGGAATTGGTGGTTTAGAAGATCCAAATTTAGAATCATTCGATTGGCTTATTCAAGCATTTGGAAATGTTCAATGTAAACAATTACTTGATGTTCTTGTTAAATGTGTAACTAGTCGTTTTTATATTGATGCTTTACATCGTTTGAATAAAACTGATGCATCATCGTTAAGTGTTACTGAGCATTTTCTTCTTATTACTTGTCCAAACTACATTGTAACTTGTGATTGCGACAAAAGCTATTCTTTTAAAATAGCTAATAAAATGTTAGACCATTATGATGATCTACTTGCTTATTTTCTTCCTTATATTAAGCAATGGACAACACCTGTTATGTCATGTTTATTTTATCCAATGAACTTTGTTTTATCAACTATTCCATCGTTACCACATAAACAAAGAAAATCTTTGTATGATGTTATTCTAACCATACTTCTAGACACGACAAGAACTGATTCAAATGCTGGAGAAGCACATGATAAATTGATTTATACGTCACTTTGTTTATTAACTGAAATAGTTCGACGTGATGAAATTTTGTCAAACGAATTAAAAAATAAACGTTACGAAAAATCTGATTTAATCAAAATATTAAATGATTTATCGAAAAATTCAAGTAACGAACAAATACAGTTAAAAGCAATAGAATTAACTTCATTATTAGTTCCAGAAGAAGAATTTCGCAAAGAAAACAATACAGAGCAAGTAACTGGACTCTTTGTTAAAAATTTTAATGCCGCAGTTCAAGATGGAAAACCTAATCAAGCCGATGGAGTTTTAAAAGGATTTAAAGGTACAGATATTTTAGAATATTCTATTTAAAAAATTTTTCTACTTATTTCTTTTTTTCTTAGATTTGGTACTAAATGAGGATGTTAAAGAAGAAGTCATTAAACAAAATGCATTACCATCAATAATCAAATTTGCAAAAGAAACCGATGATAATGCAGTATCATTAGAAATAGTCTATGCAATGGCATTTAATCACGAAGCAAAAAAATTGATTCATGACGATACAGAATTTATCGATTACATTAAAACACTTTGTGATTCCGAAAATGAAGAAGTTGCCAAAATGGCACATGGAATTATGTGGAAAATAGAAGATGAAGAAAAATTTACAGACAAACTTGACAAAGATGGAAACTCTGATGAAGATTCAAAACAATATGATATGATGATTTCATATTGTTGGGCACAAAAAGATTTATGTCATAAAATAAAGGATCGTCTCGAACAAGATGGTTATAAAGTTTGGTTAGATAGAGATGAAATGCGTGGATCAATTATTGAATGTATGGCTGAAGCTATTGAACAATCACGATTTGTACTTATATGTATGTCAAGTAACTATAAGAAGAGTACTAATTGTAAAGCTGAAGCTGAATATGCATTTAATCGAAAAAGTAAAATAATTCCACTTATTGTTGAACCTCAATATAAGGCTGATGGATGGTTAGGATTTTTGGCTGGTTCAAAAATTTATGTTGATTTTGCTGATAAAGAAGGAGAAGAATTTATTAAAGCATATGACTTATTAATAGAAGAACTTAAACGCGATGGATTACACGATGTCAAACACGGTCAAGAAAATATAATGGGCAATAAAACTAAAAGAAAATCTAAATCTGAAGAACCTAAAAAAGTGCATGGACGTCCTCGTATTCAAACAAGAGAATATTTAAACATTCCTTTGGCATCAATGTGGAATGATCAACATGTTCAGGAATTTCTAACTGATCATCAACTTGATCAATTATTACCTATTTGTGAATCGATGGATGGTGAAGCAATTATTGAATTTCATCATTCATGTGAAACAAAACCTGATATTATGTATGGATTGATTAATAATCCAAACGAGCATGCATTATCATTTGGTATTTATTTTAAGTTTATTGCTAAATTAAAAAAATATTTACCAAAAAAACCAACACGTAAACTTCGTTTTCAATACAATTTTCTTTATCCATCATCGAGTACAACTGAATCAGCAACAACAGAAAAAGAAAATAATCAACCACTATAAATTACATACAATTTTTATCATTAGTTTTGATTATAATGTATTTTTTTTAAGAAAATTTTTGTTTTTGCTTTACAGACAAGATTTGAAATAATCATGCAATACTAACTATGTAATTCGAATCAGACAAAAACCATCAGTTGTTTTTAAAAGTGGTGTATGATGGTTTCTTCAGTCAAACCGAGTGAATATTTTAGAAGTCTGTTAAAACTGACGGAATTGAGTTGATTGCGAAGCGTTTTGATAATGTTAATATGTTTGAACCATCTGCGCTAGTCACAGAGTGTATATGCGGTTCCAGTTCTGATATGAGATTTTTATCATGGATGAGATTGCAAAAATTTTTATTAGTGAAATATATTCTGGAGCTGTTTTTTTTCTCGATAGTTTTGAATTTTTTCTAATGATAATTTCGAATTCAGGTAGAAAACAATCTCTGAAATCATTTATAATTGGAATCGAAAGGCATAAGCGCTACCACTGATTCTTACGAGTACTGCGGTATACCAACGGTACTGCAAATAAACGTGCGACATGGATATTTTTTAATAATTAACAATGTGAGTCTTTTTCTGTTAAAGTTTCTCACGAGAGAAATTAATTAGATATCATAAAACGATCTATTTAATTTCAATTGGAATGGAATAAAAAAGATGCTTTGGATATGAAATTGAACGTGTCTCCTTGATTGCGGACGATTTTTCTTAATTGGAGGAAAAATATGTCCGCAAAGTAGAATCAGGAGGTATAGACAAAAATGACCGCATTTTGAAAATTGTCCGCAAAGCAGAATCGAGGCAGAGAATGAAAATGTCCGCATTATAGAATAAAAAAAAAGTAGAAATAGTAAGAAAATTAGTACAGACAAATCGATTCTATCGACGATAATCAGCAATGATTCGATTAGAACAGGAACACGCACAACAACGAACAACTCGTCCAAAAAGGTTAACTTCAATTAATAATGAAAATATTTTAGTACAAGCAAAAGAAGATTATTTAAATGCTCTACTAGATTTAGATGGTTATCAAAAAAGACTACGTTCTCTTTGTTACCGATACATTCACATATTGGATACATCTGACAAAGATGACGAAGATTATGAACCAAAGCATAGTTGAATGTTGAATCATCTCGTACTACTTGTATCTTTCTCTTTCTTCACATAATAATTTTTTTCTTGATTCTATAATGCGGGCATTTTCATTCTCTGCCTCGATTCTGCTTTGCGGACAATTTTCAAAATGCGGTCATTTTTGTCTATACTCCCTGATTCTGCTTTGCGGACATTTTACCTTAATTGGTTTAAAAAAGTGTCCGCATTGTAGCTGTAGCCGAAATTGAAATAAGGATGTTTGGGATCTTTATATATATACATCTCATTATATATACAGATGTACGTGTTATTTTCAAACATTAGTGGGTATTCCAGGGACTTATAATTTTTCTGTATTCTATAGTACATTGCAATCTGCATACACTACAAGGTATATCTACCCGTGTCATTAAAATTGCTCAAAAATCGACGATTTTATCGCAATTTATAAGACGTCTTAATTGGAAGATTATATTGTGATTAAGTCGCCTAAATTGACAGTTTTTGTCGATATTTGTCCGCTTGTTATAAAGAATTGCGATTTATCTATAATTTTTAGAAAATAATGGATAAGTAATTCTGATCAGTTTTTAATAAAAGAATCTTCAAGGAATACTTGAAAAAATTTCCGAGAATTCATGAGAGGAATCTCTTGGGTATTGAAGAGTTTTTCTTAGGAATCAACTACAAGAATCGTAATAATTGTAAACTTTCGTATACGACCTCGTTTATTCATTTTTGTTTTCAATTGTACTTACCGATGACATCATAATTAACATCAATCCAAATAAAAGAAGAATGTAGTCCATTTTATAAATAGCTAAATAGTTACTTATGAATTTGTTATTGGAATTAATCTAATTGATAAGAATTCATCTTATGAAAGAAGACATACTGATGATACTATTGTTGAGATTAATCTAAATAAGACGAATATAATTTATTTTATAAAATAATACTTGCCGTGTTATTGCTCTTTGAATTGATCGAAATGAAAAATCATTCAATTTATTTATTAAAATAAGATTAAAATAGTTTCTTTATATTCATACGAGAAATTTATGAAAAAAGCAATAAGAAGAAAATTTATTCGTTCGCGGTGTCCAACTCTTTATATTGGATACATTTTCAATCTTGTACCTTCATGTTTGTTTTATTATTGTTTTGTTCACCTTATGGTTGTCAAGCATTGCTTTTATTGTTCATTTCCTTTCTGCTCGAAAATATGTGATAAATTATATTAATATCATTATATTGTAAATGGTTTTTGTATAACTAGTATGTCTGTAATATTTGCCATATTGCTTTACATGCAGATAAGTTTTTATTCTTGTCCAAAATGCAATGAAAGTATCGCTCTGCAGACTGGATGCAGAACGGCCCTCTACCATCCCAAATAGAATGACTGGTAATGTTTAGAAGAATGCAAAGCAAGACGAAAAGAATTGCCCAGTGACAATGTCTGATCGTCCAAACTTATGCGATTTTCATGGTGATATGAGCAAAGATCCTTCACTGCTTCAAAACAAGAAGCACATAAAGGGTGTTCCATAATAACTGGCGATAAATTGTTATTCATATTTTTCATACTTTTTCTTGACATAGAGGACTGAAATTTTTATCACATATATATCTAATGAAGATCTTCTGTTTCTGAAAGTTTCAGGTCTCTAGCTATGACTACTGGTGAAATACATCGACAACATTTGAATACATGAATTTTCGTAATCGACCTAGCGGGGCAGTTACAAAGGTAGTTAACCAAAAACTCACAAAGTATTCAGAAAATTTTCTTTCATATCAGAATTTGTAGAGCTTTTTCTGCTGATCATTTTGGTAAAAACATGTTTCGAATTTCATTGAGAAATGACGATGTTATAGTCAAAATATTTATCGCAAAAAATAGAAGATGTCAGATTTTTTTCATAGAAATATCGCATACAATGTTCAATCGAGAATTATTCATCCTATTTGCTTATATTTCAGAAACGGACTATAGGATCTTGTAGAGCAAGGTTTCCTCTACAAAACCTACTAAGTCACATTTCTCCAGAATATAGCCACATTTTGAGATATACGAATCGACTTCCTTACGCTTTAACCTGTTTTAAAGTGTTTAGTATTTTGCCTACAACATCGTCATTTCTCAATGAAATTGGAAAAGTTTTTTTACCAAAATGATCAGCGGGAAAAGCTCTACAAATTCTGATACGAAAAAAAATTTTCTGAACAGTTTGTGATTTTTTGGTTAACTATTCATGGAAATATCCTGCAACATTTTCACAATAAAAAGTATTGAAAAATCGATTTCAAAAATTTATATATTTAAATGTTGTTGATGTATTTCACCAGTAGTTGTAGCTAGAGACCTGAAACTTTCAGAAACAGAAGATCTTCATTAGATATATATGTGATAAAAATTTCAGCCCTCTATGTCAAGAAAAAGTATGAAAAATATGAATAACAATTTATCGTCAGTTATTATGGAACACCCTTTATATATACACAGTTAGATATATTTAAGGATAATACATCACTGAAAGTAGATGTCTCGTGGAATACATAGTAGCGTGACACAGTGTGCAATACCAATAATGAGCACAGAATAAGAATTAATAACAGTTCTATGCAAAATAGAGTTGTTAGTTAATTCAAAAGATCCACTCATCATTATTATTGAGAGCTAAAGAATCTTTTTGGACTGTCGCCGTTGTTTAAAGGAGGGAGTCTATTACCCTAAAATTTAGTTTTAGGTAAGGCAGATCACACACTTGAAAATATATGAAAAAATGACTATGAACAAATATTTATTGATATATTTCATTAGCAACTAAATTTACTATTTTGCAATATTCCTCATGTATTCTCAAAACGGTAAACAAACTATGGAAAGATACGGTTTAAATGAACATCAGTATTATGCTCACATTTAATATGACCTTGAAATATAGCTGGAGATAAATACTTTTTAATCTCTCGAGTAAAGCATTTTCTACAAAATGAGACATCTTTGAAATCTCTGCCGCATTTTCTTATCTGATGTACGGCAATCTTATGCAAATCCCAAAATGTGTTTTTTTTTATAGAAAAAACCATTTGCTGATCTGCAATAGAATTGCTGTATCTTAGTCAAAAGATATCGTAGACAATTTAACGATGTTTCATTTTATAGACAGAAACCTTCTGTTTGTATTTTATGCCAACATCTATATCTTTAACAGTGAAAATATCTATTGTTAATGTTCGTTTTCTTTTCTGCATGCGTTTCAAATTGAGAAAAACGTAATTTATGTTTACAGAGTTCTTTTTTACTATTTTTTATCAAAACCACTTATTGCATGCCATACTTACTGAAAAAACTAACTTTTTCTTTTTCTTTTCTTCAATGTACGATGTCTTGCAACATGAAAATAAGTAAAAGTAACATTGATTGCAGATAGTACTATCAATACGATGATTATTATATTTAATCGATTTGTTTTTAGTAATCATCTTCTATAGGATTTTTTTTGCATGCCTGTTCTATATTTGTTGTTGTTATATTTCTATTATTATTGTTGTTGGTCTTGCTAGCATTGTTGTTACCGAACAAAGCTGATGATTAGATTAGTTGTTGGAATTGTTGCGAAAAGAAGTAATTAAAAATTTGATTTTGTTACCGTATAATGGATAAAATGATATAATTCTTTTCTACGAATAAAAAAGATCTTTTATTGAAAAACAAAAGATACATCTGAACAATAATTATGTTTCAGCTTTTCTTTTCAATTAGACACAATCGATGCCAATATTTTCATTTGAAGTTCTTTTAACCAACATTTTACATTCATGATCATCTTTTTTCCAGTGATTAAAGACTTTATAGACAAGTTAGGTGGAAAATAATCAATACTTTTAAGCAACGTG